CCCCCGACACTGCATCCCCCACGATCCCCCTCCTCGGATCTTTGCGCGCGGCTTGTTGTTGGACGGCCTCGCCGCGGGTCTCTCTTTGTTCGAGGGGAGGGGCCGGACCGAGGGGAGACCCCCTTTTTCCTTCGGACCCTCCCCCCATAAGCCTCTCCCCCACCCCGATCTTACACTTTGCTTCGAAGGAGGACCCCGCTGAGGGTCTGGGTAAGGCAGCCGAACGGGGGGAAAGGGGGGGGGGTCGCCTCTTCCCCTCCCTCTTCCCAGCCGGGCTCCATGTTGCGCGCTCAGCATCTCCTTTGTCTGGAAGCCTTCCCAGGTGCCCCCCCCTCCCCCCTTAAAACCCGGCGCCTGTACCTTTCTGGGGGGGGGGGGAGATGCCCTCTGCGCCGCCCCCGCCTCCCGTCAGCCTCGGAGGGAAGGCCTTTACCCTGGCTGCTTGGCACAACCCCGGGCCTGCTTAGATTGACCCGGATTTCGCTGCCCATCGCTTTCGGTTGCACCCCAATCGTGGCAGCTCTAGTTGGCATCGATCCTCCCCGCCCCCCCTGCCATGCCCATATGAGCTTGGTTGCCTTGGCCTTCCCGTCCACAGACGCTCCAAAAAGAGCCGTGCCCTGTCTTGTGCCCGCAGCCCTGGCAGGCTTGGGTGGCGTGCTGCTGCTTGCCCTCCTCCGCACCTCCCTTTGTGCCCGCGGATGTGGGTCATATGTGTACCCTGTGAACTTCTGGGGAACTGCTAGGGACTCTTTTCCCGGACCGGAGTCTGCAGGGGAAGGGCAGCTTTTCAGGGGCTTCCCCCGTCCAGGTTCCCTGTTGTGCCAGCCTTTGCCCTTTCCTTGGCACCCTGTTAAAGGCAGGGAGGTGGCCCTCGAAGGCAGGGGAGTCCACTCTACCCAGCCACAACTGGGATATAGGACCACCCGCAAAGAGGGCCAAAGTAATGCCTGGCCCATCTCCTGGACAGTACCACCACAAGAACTGTGCTTTTCCTAGAGGGGAAAAATAGTAATTAAAACCCAGTGAACAAAATCTCCTTTTTCTCTATATGCAGACATGTGTGTGTGTGTGTGTTTTCAAGAAAACCAAACATACACATTTGTCAAAAGAAGGAGGCGGGCGCCTATAATGTTTGAGGAAAAGAACCATTACACAATGAGACATCTTCCTACATAAACATTGAATTATGCTCGGTGATTGTCCCTCTCTGAAAAAACGAGAGTCCTGTGGCGACTTAAAGACGGACAGATTTATGGATGCCGAAATGGATACTTGGGCAGAAGGAAAAGGGTGTGTGTGCGTGTGTAATGTGTGGGAGACATACAGATTGTGACACTGATATGCAAAAAAACATAATAGCACACAACATTCCCCCCAGCTGTCTTCGGTGATAACAACTTAACTTAGCGATTTAATTTAACACATGTAGCGGCCAAGGGTTTACAGTTAGGATTGAGAGTTGATTTCTTATATAGATTGCCCCGAGAGACCGGGCTTCCGGAGTACTAAATTCTTTTCGCTCTTAAGTTTTTGAAAAGTGATAATCTTACTGCCCAAATGGAATTCTTTCTGGGGCAGATCATGTTTCGGAGGGATGAATTGGCCTTTCCGAAAGCCCCTCAAAAGTAGCTTAGCTGCTGCTACTGGTTGGCTGGAAATGTGGTGGGATCATAACATGTTTTGGAGTAAATCCTTTGGGAGCGCTCTGCTTAATTCCACGCCAAAGGGTCACTCGGGCCCACGTCTGTCTGGAGAACTTGCTGTGCGAGGTCATAAGAATACTCTGTGTTCTGGTGTCCGGAGCCGGGGCACGCAAATAATCTTGCCGTCCACACAACAGGCCTTTAAAGTATGGTCTTTGGACTTTTCAAACAGCATCTCCCAGTATAGTCTCTTGCTCTGGTTAAGTCATTTACGCATAAGAACATAAGAAGAGATCTTCTGAATCAAACCTAGAGTTTCCAGGGCCTGGAGATCTCCTAGAATTATAACTTATCTCCAGTTGAGAGAAAGCAGTTCCCCAGGAGAAAATGGTTGCGTTGAAGAGTGGACTCTATTGCGTTATACCCTCCCCAAGCTCCATCCCCAAATCTCCAGGAAATTCACAACCTGGAATTGGCAATGCTGAACAGACCCGTGGTCCGTCTAGTCCAATGCTGGGTCTCGCACAGCATCAGCCAGTTGCCCTGGAGGCAGTTGCCAAATGGGGAGCGGTGGCACAGGCGGTTAAACGCCTGCTGGTAACATCTGCGAACAGCTGCTACAGCGGTTTGAAACCCACCGCGGCCAGGGTGAGCTCCTGGCCCTAGTCCCAGCTCCCGCCCACCCAGCGGTTCGAAAGCAAGTAAATATTGCGAGTAGATTAATGGGTACCTGCCCTTAGGTGGCAGGGGGCACCCTCCCCCATATGGGGGTGTGCGACAGGAGTACCAAAGCGGCGGCGGCAACATTGGCGAAAAATGGCGGCGACGGTGGAATGGTGAGGCATCGGATCGACGGAGCGAGGCAGCGGAGTGACGGAGGCAGAGACAAGGCGGAGCCATAGGAGGACGTGGTGACATGCGCAGGCACAGCGGAGCCGGATCGGACATTAGCTGGACATGTACCACGCACTAGAGGAGCCCGCCTAGAAAAAGAAAGCCGCCGGACCGAAAAGACCTCACCAGACACTGGAAACGCCAGGAACATCGGAACACCGACCCCTGAAAAAAGACCGCCCGGGAACAAGCCAAGAACAAGCCGAGAACAGTGAGCCCTGCCACCTGGGTGCCTTAGTTAGGGTTAATTTGGAACTGTGTAAACTGTTGGCCTTAGTTAGGGATAATTTGGAACTGTGTAAACTGCCCAAAGACCCTTCGGGGTTCGGAGCGGTATAGAAATCTATAAATAAATAAACAAACCAGATGTAGAGGGTGAGGCCTTCCCGTGATGCTGCCCCCCCCCCCAGCACTGACATTCAGAGGTTGACTGCCCCTGGAAAATGGAGGCTATTAGCCATTGATAGATCTCTCCTCCATGAGTCTGTCTAATCCCCTTTTAAAGCCATCTAGGCTTATGATATCAATGAGGGGAGCTTTGACTCTCAAAAGCTTATACCAACCAAATCAGTCAGCCTCTGAATCCCAGGAGGCAACATCAGGGGAAGGCCACAGCCTCTCTGCCCTGTTGCCAAACTTCCAGAGGAACTGGTTGAGGCCACTGTGGGAGACGGAATGGTGGACTAGATGGACCCTCACTGGTCTGACCCAGCAAGGCTCTTCTGAGGTTCTTGTGAGGGGAAGGCCTCGGCCTCTCTGCCCTGTTGTTGGCCCTCCAGAGGAACTGGTTGAGGCCACTGTATGAGGCAGGATGCTGGACTAGAGGGACCCTCACTGGTCTGGTCCAGAAGGGCTCTTCTTACATTCTTATGAGGGGAAGGCCTCAGCCTCTCTGCCATGCTGTTGGCCCTCCAGAGGAACTGGTTGAGGCCACTGTATGAGGCAGGATGCTGGACTAGAGGGACCCTCACTGGTCTGGTCCAGAAGGGCTCTTCTTACATTCTTATGAGGGGAAGGCCTCAGCCTCTCTGCCATGCTGTTGGCCCTCCAGAGGAACTGGTTGAGGCCACTGTGGGAGACGGAATGGTGGACTAGATGGACCCTCACTGGTCTGACCCAGCAGGGCTCTTCCTCTTCTGATTTTCTTATGTGGGGAAGGCCTCGGCTTCTACACCCTGTTGTTGGCCCTCCAGAGGAACTGGTTGAGGCCACTGTGTGAGGCAGGATGCTGGGCTAGATGGACCCTCACTGGTCTGGTCCAGCAAGGCTCTTGTTACATTCTTATGAGGGGAAGGTCTCTGCCTCTATGCCTTGTTGTTGGCCCTCCAGAGGAACTGGTTGAGGCCACTGTGTGAGACGGGATGCTGGACTAGATGGACCCTCACTGGTCTGATCCAGCAGGGCTTTTCTATTGTCCTTATGAGGGGAAGGCCTCGGCCTCTCTGCCCTGTTGTTGGCCCTCCAGAGGAACTGGCTGAGGCCACTGTGTGAGGCAGGATGCTGGACTAGGTGGACCCTCACTGGTCTGATCCAGCAGGGCTGTTCTGATGTTCTCAAGGTGCTCTTGGGCTCGAATCTGGCTCTTCTACACTAGTGGCTATCACTACATCCACTGGCAGTGAATCCCACAATTTAATAACTGAGTAAAGGCGGTTTCCTACTTAATGTGCCGTCCCTTAGGACTGCCTGTATGGCCACAGTGAGATCATGGGCCTTTTCTGTGTTGGGCCCGATCCTTTGGAGCGGCCTGCCTGGGTTTGAGGAGGACCCTTTCCAGTGCTACGTTTAGGAAGGCGTGTAGTGTAAGACAGTCCTCTTCCCTGGCTCCGAGTTAGCTGCTCCTGTGCCTTCAAGCGCTCTTTTGTGTTTTAATCTTGCGAGCTTTCAGATTGGTAAATTGCGTGCCTTCGTCGGTTTTAACTTTGTTAACCGGATTATTATTTATGGCCTTGACGCTCTGTTGCCGCATTGTTCCCGGCCTTGACTCCCCAGGAGATAAGGCCGGGATAGACAAATTTTTTTTTTAAAATAGAAAAATAAGATAGGCCAGCCTTAGTTCTGAGCTTAGGGTAGCAGCGAGGCTGCACGAACCAGAGAATTTGATCCTGTATCCATTGTGTGACCCACCCACCCCCTCCCCTGCTGATGTGAAAGAGCATTCCTCTACTCTCTGGCGCATAACTAAACAGGAGTCCCGTGGCATTTGAAAAGACTAACATTTATTCCGGGCGGCAGCCGTTTGTGAGTCAGGGCTCAGGGCCTCAGATGCTTACACGCCAAAGTATCTGATGCGCCTGGTGTTGACTCACCGAAGCTGATGATGGAACACATTTTGTTAGTCTTTAAAATGCTGCCGAGCTCCTGTTGAATTCCGCAGCGGAATAATGCGCCACCCCTCTGGAATTATTATCCTGGATGCAGAGTGAGGCAAATGGATTTACTTACAAATGCACTCTGCACTTGCACAGGGGGACTTCTGTTCTTTTCCCAGAAGTTCCGGAGTTCAGCATTGAAAACTGGAGCTGGAGTGGTGGAGTCAGGCTAGGAGCTGGGAGAAGAGGTGGAAAATTTCCAGAAATGTTGGAGTCATGGGAAAGGCCTGTTTCCCTCTGGTCTTTCATATGTCTACCAGGGAGACCCAAGTTCAAATTGTTGTGCCGTCGTGAAACTCACCGGGGGAATCTTGGCATAGACACTCTCGCTCGGCCTGGTCTACCTCGCAGGGTTGTTGTGAGGGGAAAATGGGAGAGAGGAGACACGCCGGTCGCGCTGAACTCTGTGGAAGAAGAGTATGTTAATCCGCTACATTTTTGGCCCTGAATTGGCCAAGTGACATGGCCTGTTATTTTGTTCAGAGGTGGAGGCCGTAATCGGGCCAGTTCAGGGCCAAAAATGTGCCGTATTAACAGAATGGATTAAAAATGTACTAGGCAGTTTACTTGTTTGTTTTATTCGTTCAGTGTGTTTCTCTTCCTCCTCTTCGAAGTCCAGTTAAAAACTGGAGTTCCGTTCTGATGAGCCCCCCCCCCCGCACATATTAAACCCCCTCGTGGGTGCCCACCAGCGGGTTGGCACAGCCCTCGGTTCACTTGGGGCCCTGCGTCGAGAGAGATGCCCAGGTGTGCGTGTGCGTGTTTGTCAGAGGGGGAGAGATTCTGGAATTCAGATTAATCGGCTGTCTTTGTTTCTGTAATCTTAGCCTCTTTTCCTCCGGAGCCAGGCCGGGCCCACCCGGGCAGGACGGGGGAGAGCGAGAGTTGGTGTGAGTCTGGGAGGGAAGGAAGAAGGGGGAAGATTCCAGCCTGGGTTTGTGTTTTTTTTGCTGCGCTCAGCGTGGGAGCCGTTGGGTCTGCTGGCGCTCCGGCCTAACCAAAGCAGTGTTTGGGGAGTGCCATGGAGGGAGCTGGCGGGAGGCCCGAGGAGTGCTATAAATCCCAGGGAAGGGTGGCAGCGTAGGTAGGAAGACTGCAGGAACCAGATCGGCTCTCTTTCCTCAGACTTCCTTTGGGCCTCTCGTGTTCACTGCCAGCGTTGGGTTGCCAGGTTCCCCCTGGCCACTGGTGGGGGGGGATGAGGGGGTAGGGCTCTCAGATCCAGGCTGGGAAACTCCTGGAGATTTGAGGATGGAGCCTGGGGAGGGGATGGGTCTCAGCAGGGCACAATGCCGCAGTCTCCACCCTCCGAAGCTACCATTTTATCCAGGGGAACTGATCTCTGTCGTCTGGGGATGAACTGTAATTCCGGAGGATCCCCAGGTCCCACCTGGAGGCTGGCATCCCTATCAGATAGTAGGTGGGGGGGCTTATGTGATTCAGACCCCCCCCCCCCCCCCAATGTAAATATTCCCTGTATGTAGAGAACTAGTGTTTCAAGGAAAAGCATTCTGGCTTCTCCCTGACTTACTAGATTTCTGTTTGGATAGGGTTGAGGCCTGGAAATCTGCCAAAATGAAGAATGATCTTCAGACTACGGAGATCAGTTCCCCTGAAGAAAATTCCCTTGCTCAAAAGCCAGTCGAGTCCGACTCTAGGGTTGCGGTGCTCATCTCCGTTTCAAAGCCGAAGAGCCAGCGCTGTCCGAAGACGTTTCCGTGGTCATGTGGCCGGCATGACTAAACACCGAGGCGCACGGAACAAAGTTTGAGTCCAGTGGCACCTTTAAGACCTTCCAGGTATAAGCTTGCCTGAAATTTACTTCTGAGTAAGCATGCCATGGGATCAGGACCGTGAGATTGCAGTCTGCGGCCTATTCAGTCCACACTGCTTTTGAAGTGCAAAATGAAAGATAGGATTTAAATGATGATGATGATGATGATGATAATAATAATATTGAAATAACCAACGTTGGCTACATGCAGTTGGGTTACTCTGGAACTGGCAGGTAGTGAATGAAGGACTCCAGCTCCTAAATACGTAGACATCCATGACTGAGAACAGTATTAAAATTATCTATGTAAGGAACATATATTGTTGAATATATAGGATATAAAGCTGTAGCGTGGAAGGCAGATTCATGTGAGGGAAACTTGCTTGGAGACACTGCTCCAGTTCTCCCCCACCCCCCCAACCTCCAATTCAGATCAACTCGAGAAAACTCCATTTATTTTTATACCGCTGGTATATTATACTCTCAGTTTCACGTATTAAAAGGTTTATGCCCTGTCTTTCCTGGTAACTCAAGGTTCCTAACAAATCACAGTGAAAACCTGCAGAATGTAAAGCCGGCGCCATTCGAAACATACATAAGAAAACCCCCAAATTACCCCCCCCCCCCCCCAAATAACACACACAAAAAAAGCCCCGGTCTGTATTTGGATGGGAGACCGCCAAGGAAGCCCAGGGTTGCTAGGCAGAGGCAGGCCGTGGCAAACCACTTCGGAATGTCTTTTGCCTTGACCTGGATGGCCCAGGCTAGGCCAATCCGTTCAGATCTTGGCTGCTAA